GCTAGTGTATGGTAGTCACATCTTTCGGGGAGTGGTGGTTGAAAGGAAGATCTCATCCCGCAAGGGCTTGGCGAGATTGTTCTTTTTCTCCACTATATACTTGTACCAGGTGGGAAGGTGGCAGTCAAGGATGTTAAAAGCTTTTAAGGTCCTCCCCAAAGACCATCTTTATTGATAAAAGAACTCGAAGAAGTTCTTCAACTCAGCTAGCAGATGACCACCTAAGAGACAAGTGAAGGGGTGGTTGGCACGGGAATCGTCTGGGAATGGCTCCCATCGAAGATTAGGGAAGTAAACTGTCCTCCATAACTTCAGAAACCAGATGGGCCTATTGAATTTGTTAAAGGGTTTCTTGGTCAGCGACTCCCTCATGCCATCGTAGAGATTGCATAAAAACATAGTCTCCAGGGCTATTTAGTTGCCATAAAGCAGGGACTGAGTGATCCTCAAGTGTAGTTGCACAAGCTTCCCTCCCCCCGGAGCCAAGATCCATTGGCTCAGTAGGATCCATATAAAGACCATGTGCTCCATGGCAGTGACAAACTCAGAAGCTGGCTTTTCGGAGAACAACTCCATAATCTTCGTATAAGACCCCACACTCCTAATCTTGCTCTCCAAATTAGTAGGGACGACATTGTAAGAATCATGCTTCTTAAGGATTGCACAAAATTTCTCCTCTTTGGTGATAGGCAGCCCTAGGAACATGAAGACATTCCATAGTGTAAGGGACATTAGGCTGAGCTTGAAGATGAAGGCATTGCAGCCTAGAGCCCAAAAGCTGAGGAAGGCTGTTTGAAGCTCCATAGGGACGTTCACATTGGCCAAGGATAGCTGGATGAGGTCAAATAGACCTATCTGATTCTATTGAGGCACATATTCTAACTTCAGGCACCTCATCCAATTGACCCAAGCACGAGGAGACTGGGGCCAATTCCTGAGCTTTCTATAGGACAACTTAGGGAAGGGCAAGGTCATCCAAGCCAAGACTAAGTTGTGAATAGAGGTCAGGGCCATGGGTTTGGTTGTATGGGAGTAGTGACTTTAGATAGGTCAAGAGAGATTGTCAGATACACAACGTTGCTCTTATTGGAGATTTGAAAACTCAAAGGTGGAGTGCTAAAAAAAATGAAGCACAGTTTTTAATAAAATAGAAGGGCTAAATGTGAGAAGCAAGAAACTTACTAAAAAGCTGATTCATGGAATGATGAATCCTTTTGAAAAGAAATGAATGAAATATTAGAATGGGAAGCTAGTCTAAAGGAAAAAAGGTTTTTCAGACCACTAAATACATACCATCATGAGCCCACTAAGTAGGTTAACTGGGTTTTAGATAATCGCCAGAGAATCTGGCAAATTACCAACAGAAGTATAAGAAAGGGCAGCAGCAGAAGAAATAGCAAGAGCGGAAGAAGCCATTTAAAAGTTGGGGTAATAGAAATACAGTGGATTAAAAACTTGAAGTTCAAGAAACAGTAAAGAGGGTAAAAGAAGTGACCAGAATAAAGAAACAAGTTTATATTAGTAGAGGGCGCTCAAAAATGAAGCGATGTTTCAGCTTTTTCAAATGTGTCATGTGGCTTATGTTACCAGCCATTGGCACGCGGGGGGCATTGTTTGGACTAAATATGAAACGTCGCTCAAATAGGTCAAAAGGAGCCGGCCTCGAAGCTTAATAAAAGCCACAACAAGTAAACATGCTGAAATCCCGTTAGCTGCAAATATTAGACTGTTGGCACGAAGACACGATCCTAAGTAATGTCGAATTGTCAAAAGGTATAGAATCCCTCGCTATAATTAAAAGTATAATTAACTTAATGCTGAAATCCCTCGTTATAATGCTGAAATCTTAAATGTATAATTAAAAGTCATTGTCAAAAGGTAATTTTTTTTAGTAATTAACTAGGGATAGAATTTCTCACTAAATCCCTCGCTAATTCTCTTATTTTAGAGAGGGATTGACAGTCTCTCACTATTTTCCTCGCTAATTCTCTTATTTTAGAGAGGGATTGACAATCTCTCGCTAATTTTCTCACTAATTTTAAGTCAAGCTACAAAATTAATATCTCTCGCTAATTTCCTCGCTAATTTGGTATTTTAGAGAGGAATAGATAATTCCTCGCTAAATTTCCTCGCTAATTTGTATTTTTCTAGTAATGATATAAAAACCAACAAAATTTGATTCAATTAGATAATAATTTGACTAGTAACTCATAAAGTTATAATTCAAATCTCATTGTCGATATGAATTTTTTGTTGGCATGCGATGGATGAGTACCTTTATGAGCATTTTTTAAGCATGATGGCATATAGTATCTCTAGCATCTTGTTATATTTTATAGTTTGTTATTGTGTTAATATTAAAATGTTAAATACATATTACTGACCAGAATTCATTGCCTAATATATCTCAAGTATTAGAAGTCATATTCAACAACAATTTAATATTTTTTTATAATTTGTTACTATTGTGAAATTTATTTGATTATATAATTTATTACTTTGTACATTTATATTGAAAATATAATCAACAAATTATTTCATTTAAAATTTATTATTTTTTAAATTAAAATTCCAAAATTTTTTTAATGTAAATTAAATTTTTAATTTTATCATAGATTCCACACATGCTATTTTAACTGTAGGTTCTATTTTCTTCATCTATTAACTATGAGAGAGTCAGAGACAATGGGCTCGAGAGATAACAACCCAAAACTCCATCATAGGCCACATGGATGATGGATCATTAAAAAAATCAATGTCTTGAAGTTGATATTTTTCATTTTCACTTCAAAGTATCGATTCAGTGTTCGTTTGTGTTTAATTTGGATATAATAAATTATAAAAATAATTAATTAAATAATAAATTTTAATCATAATTAATTATTTTATAATACAATATATTTGAATATTATATTTTTAAAATTAATTTTAACGAAATTGAAGACGTATGAATAATTTATTCATAATTAATTTTATCTATATAAATTATTATAAAGGACGTTGTCTTTCAAAATTAAATTATTAATAAATTTTTATTTAATATTTAAAAATTAAAATATATTATTTAAATTATATATCTGATTAATTATAAAAATTTAAATTATATTAATATTAACAAATACATTTAATAAAAGACAAAGATTTTATTCTTAAATACCAAACATAAAATTTTACAATAATTAATGAAGATAATTATTTACAAATTGATCTCTAATGATATCATGAATATAAGCCATATTTGACGAAAATGTGAAGCACTGCTTAAAACTTATGGCAATATAAAAAATGTAATAATATAACAAATGACACAAAATCTCTATCTCTGTGGACCTTTGTAAAAAAATTTATAATGACCCTCAATTTTAAATTAAATTAAATTAATTTTATTTTACTAATTAATATTTTATTTAAATTAGTTTCATAGCAGGTGCTAAGTGGAGGATGGTAGTTGGCAAAAATTAATGCTAGTAACTTTTTTGAGAATTTAAAGTTTGAATTTTGCTAAAAGAAAAAGGAAAAAAGAGAGTTTGATTTTGTTTTTTTTTTAACTTTGTGCCTTTCTTGAAATTTTTTTCTCAGGCGTTTCTTTATAATTTTCTTTATATGCCTTTGTAATTTGAACACAAAAGCTGCCTCTGATAGCTTTGCAAAAAAAATCAATTTTTTTCAAAAAATTAATTTTTTGGAAAAATTGCCGTATGGATAATTGACTGCAAAATCGATTTTTTCCCTCAAAATCGATTAATTAGCTATCCAAACACGCACTGAATCCATATCAAATGTTTTTTTTTTTTTTGGTTTTCTCTGTTCTTTTGGGCACAATTACGACATTCTTTGAGGTCTTCGTTAAAGTTTTTTCTTTGTTCTTTTTCCTTTTATTGCTGAGGAGAAAAGGAAGATGGTATTCGTAAATCGGTCTTCTCAAATCTCTGTCTTCTTTTGATACGGTCTTTCAAGTTTCAAGGAAGAAGATGTTTTACTTAAATTTTTTTCGTCAAATTAATTAAGAGAGGCTGACATTATATATCCAAGTTAAAAGTTAAAACTTGGAACCCAAAACAAATTTTCTTCTTGGTCTGCCTTAGCTTTCTAATTACGTAGCCCTAGCAATATTAATAATAACAATTACAACATATATACCTGTAAAAGAAGGCACATTGACATGTTGCATAAACTTGTACTCCATGCATAAACTTGTACTCCATCTCTCATCACCAACTCTACAATCTCACCTAAACTAACAGAACCATATGCACTAGAATATAGTACATATGACCGATACTACACCATCCTCTAACACATTCCCTTTACATGATCAATAACAAAAATTACAGGAACAATGAAATTTTGAATCCCTTAAGTCTGTCTCGGCTATTGATTTAGTTTTTTGAATTTAATTTTTATCAATTTAATCTTTTAAATTTGTTTCAGTTATCAATCTGGTCCTTTATTATTTAAAAAAGAGATAACAATGTTAAAAATCCATTCACATGGACAAAGGAATATTAATTATAGTCATGTAAATTAATAAAAAAGTGTAATTATTTAGATAGGAAAAAACATATTCAAAAACTTTAAAAAATTTAACTATATATACATGTCAAATCATTCAATATACTTTATAAATTAAATTAATTTGAGAGTTAATTTATGTTTTAAAATTTAAAAGACTAACATGATAATTTAAAAAAAATCAAAGGGACCACATCAATAAAAATTAAACTTAAAAAGAATAAAATCAATAATGGTAATTGAAGCAGGGACGAAAGCTTTATTATCCCAAAATTATATAATTTTCAAACCCGTTGATGGTCACTTTCAGATTGACGTAGGTGGATAGACTACTTGGTCTTAAAGCGCACAACAAAAGCGGGGTCAAAGTTTTGGTCTTCTAGACTTTGCTCTAACTTCCAACATTGAGTGACTTTAAAGGATCACTATGATTCTGCGTTAAACATGCACTTGTTAGTAGATTCACTTCTATTTATACAGTTCAGGCTTCCATGGATTAATCCTCACAGTCACATCCTCATTCTCCAGATCTTGTATGTTCTTGTCAGTCGTGTCATTGATCAGACCAAATATGGCTCCTTTGCCCCTGAAAAACTTGTTGCTCTGTACAACCATTTTCGCTTTCTTAGCTTTGGCTTTGTTATCACAAGCAGAGCTTGATGTCCATCACTACGACCATACATGTCCTCAGTTGGAAAAAATCATTAAAGACACTGTTCTTAATGCTTCTCAGCATGACCCTAAAGTCCCAGCTCGCATACTGAGGATGTTCTTCCATGACTGTTTCATTAGGGTATGCTAGCTCATTGTTTTGGTTTGTGTACACACGTGTTTGCGTGTACATATCTTTTTTTCAGGTTAATTTTTCTGTGTTTTTTCGTGTAGGGTTGTGATGCATCAGTACTTTTAGACTCAACTCCTACGAGCAAAGCTGAGAAAGATGGCCCTCCAAACATCTCTGTGAGATCATTCTATGTGATTGATGAAGCTAAAGCCAAGCTTGAAAAGGCATGCCCACACATAGTTTCGTGTGCTGATATTCTCGCCATTGCAGCCAGAGATGTGGTAACCCTGGTAATGAACAAATCAACACTTCAACTTCTCGTACATATTCTGTATATATTAATTACTACTTTACTATAAATTAAACTTTGTTGATTAGGTATGTATATTAGGTTTGTCTTTCTATCAAAATAATAATTTACTTTCTATCAAAATAATAATTTAGGTCAATTTAATAGGACCTATCTTAAGCTCATATATCTTTAATCCATTCTTTAATTAGTTAATCAACATGATAGACTTTTTAATACATTCTAATATTTCTCCTACTACTTTCTTTTTCTTTTTCTTTTTTCATTTCTGTTTCTTTTTTTGCCTTTTCCTTTTATTCATTTATTTTTTTTCTTCTTCTCTTTGTCTAATCTTTTAATTTGAGTCTAACAGGTCTCAAGTCCACCATTTGTTTTTTTTCTTTGGTTTTTTTTTTGGTTTTTGTTTTTTGACATCCAGGTCGAACGCATCGAAATGATATCATACTAAATTTTTTTAGTTTAGAGATAGTTTGTCTTTCTATCAAAATATCTTAAGCTAATGTGATGGGACTTACTTTATAGCATATACATTTAATCCATTGTTTAGTTAATAATTAACTTTTCAACACATTAATCAAATACCGTACACACAAAAGTAACTTCAAAAGTAACTTTACTGGTTTATCTCTCTCAGTCTGGGGGTCCATCATGGGAAGTTCTAAAAGGAAGAAAAGATGGAAGAGTGTCAAAAGCATCAGACACAAGAAACTTGCCACCTCCAACTTCAAATGTGAGCCAACTTATTCAGAGCTTCGCTTCAAGAGGATTAGACGTCAAAGATTTGGTCACTCTATCAGGTGGTCACACTCTGGGATTCTCACACTGTTCTTCATTCGAAGCTCGGCTTAGGAATTTCAATCTGTTGCATGACGTCGATCCCAGTTTAGACTCTAAGTTCGCTCAAGATCTGAAGCAGAAATGCCCAGAAAAACCATCATTCAGGGGCCATAATGCAGGACACTTCTTGGACTCAACAGCTTCAGCGTTTGATAATGACTATTACAAGAGATTGCTTGCTGGGAAAGGATTGTTTATATCAGATCAAGCAATAGTTGGAGATTACAGGACCAGATGGATTGTTGAAGCATTTGCTAAAGATCAAAGCTTGTTCTTCAATGAGTTTATTGCTTCCATGTTGAAGCTTGGGAATGTGGGTGTGTTATCTCACAATGGAGAAGTGAGACGTGATTGCCGGGTCGTGAACTAAGGGAGAAACAAGAGACTAATTATTACTCAATTTTTTTCCCCCGGCGATTTACAAGGTGTTGTGATGTTGTCACATGACTCAAAGCTTAAATAAATGTCGTATGATGTAAAATGACGTCGTTTCCTTAAAATACTTGTTCTTGAAGATTCCCAAGTCTCTATCTCGATTACTTTTTCTCTTGAAACATAGATTTTCCCTTTTTCAGATGTAAAACAAAAGGGAAAAAGATAACATGTTTTTTAAAATTACCATATGTTTTTCTTTTTTTTCAAAAGAGACATTGGCTCTATACCACATTTTTTTCAAACATATATAAACAGAGAAATTTTTTTTTGCTTCACTCTAATTTTTCTTCCCTCAATTTTCTCTCACCCAAAACTGTTTTTTCCCCTCCTATGTTTCTTCTCATTCAAACAAAGCATAAAAGTTATTATTTTAAAGTAAATTAAGGAAAATCATTTTAGTGAAATAAAAGCAAAAACAACGTTAAGAAGTCAAAATAACACTTGTACAACCAATTTAATTAAAAGACCACAAAATTGTTAACTTGCAATCATCCTTACACAACTAAAAAATAAGGTATATATAACGTCTTATATTCGACGACTATAAAAAAACATTGAATAAAAAAAGGCAGGATTTTAAAAAGTTAATATTTAGCTGTTAAAAATATAACTGTTGAATACACACACACAATGGTTAAATATAAAACCCGTTGAGTAAATGCTTCAAAAAAGTGCCTGATGACATCATTGTATTATTCAATAGTTCCCTAAAAACCACAGTTGTATAAACCATCAAAATATTCAATAGTTAAATTCCAAAACTGTTGAGTAAATGTTTCAAAAACCGCTTGATGATATCATCTTATTATTCAACAATTCCTTAAATAGAATTGTTGAATAAACATTTATAACATTTAACTATTTTTATTAAGGAATAGTTGAATAAACATTTATTCAATGGTTCTTCAACAAAACCGTTGAATAATAGCTTTTAAATGGCCTTTTCATCTTCACGAAGCTGTTACTCTTCAAACACCCAAAACTTCATTTTCTCTCTATAAAACCAAATACCCAACTATCAAATCTCCTTCCCCAAGCACCGAGTACACAATTTTGGCCAAACTCTTCCATATTCTGTCGTTGGAACACTGTCACTTGCCTTTGTCACAATTTTTGTCTTTCGCTGTGTGGTGTGCGAACACGTAAGTCCTTTGTTTCCTCTTCCTCTTCCTTTTCCTCTCTCTCTCTCTCTCTCTTCCTAACTTCATCTTCCTCTTCCATTCCAGTTGCTAGGCTTGTGGTTTATCTCCCTTCAACCATGGTTACTTGCATTCGTGGGTTACGTTGGCAAATGAAGAAAAGGTTTTTTTTTAAGAAATTGTATAAAATTTGAGTAGTTTATTTGAACATAGATTGAATGGGTTATGATTATCTAAAGTGGGGATGATTTCATATACAATGTGCTTGAATTTTGGTCAAACAAAAATGCTCTGTCTGTTGTCAATTTTGAAATTTGAATTGTGAAATTGTTAAATGTGATTGATTGAATGATTTTTGATATGAATTTATTGTTATTTCAATGTTTAATTTGTTAAAAGAGGGCAATAAGCTTAGGAAATGCTTAGTTTTATGCCATTATACTGCCAAATTTTTTTTAAAATTTTAGTCTTGCAAATATGACCATGGTTAAAGTTGTTTTATGGTCTAGAGGAAGTTTAATTATACTTATATTTTGTTTCTTGAATTAGTTTAAAATTTTGTAGATTAAAATAGTCTAAAGAAAGGACATAATGCTTAGGAAATACTCATTTGAACTTGTTATGCTGCTAACTTTTTTTAATTTAAATTTTGCCCTTGAAAAGAACAAATATAAGCATAGTTGAAGTTGTTGAAGTAATCAAACTCATAACTCACTGAATGCTTTTCTATCTTTACCATCTTTCTTAAATAAGGGCATTATGGATAAGGAGTGGATATCTGCCAATCGCCTATCTAAAGAATATTGGGATGGAATAGCAGGGTTTGTTAAGTTTGTGTTAAATAATGCAAAAAACCATGAGCAAATTATTTGGCCTTGTTTAAGTTGTGGTAATGTAAAGTCAATTTTTTTTGAGACATGTGAACTTTACTTGTTTAAGTATGGAATTGATCAGAGTTGTAAGTATTGGGTAAAGCATAGGGAGACACCTGAAGATGTGAATAATAGTAGCCGAGAGTATATGAAAGTTGTTTATCGTCACCGTCTTTTGACACAAATGCATATGAGGCCGACTGTCATGAAGAATTTGTTAATGTGATGGAAGAGGAACCCAAGAATTTTTTAGAGAAGTTAGACAGGTTGAGAACTCATGTGAGGACACCTTTATATGAGGGTTATACTGAGTTCATTTTATTGTCTGCTATCTTAGAATTGTATAACTTGAAAGCAACAAGTGGGTGGAGTGTTACAACTTTTTCAAGCTTGCTCTCTCTAATCAAACTAATGCCACTGGAGAATAACAAGCGTTTGGGTCAACTATATGATGCAAAGAAGGTGTTACGCATAGTTGGCTTAAGCTATAAGAAGATGTATGCTTGCCCTAACGATTGCATTTTATTTAAAAATGAATATGAAGAGCTAACCCAATGTCCTAAGTGTGAGACATCACATTATAAGAAAAATGGGAAGAGTCCGGAGAAGGCAATGTGGTATTTTCCTATTATTCTAAAATTTAGGCATTTGTATAGCATACGTCAAGAGGAAAATAATTTAATATGGCATGCAGATAGAAGCATTAAAGATGAAAAAATTTAGATCCAATTGATTCTCTTGAATGGATAATGTTCGATTGAAAGTACCCCGAGTTTGGAAAAGAAGGTAGGAACCTATGCCTCACATTATCTACTGATTGGATGAACCCGCATGGGATGTAGAGTAGTACCTATAGTATATGGCCTGTAATGATAGACATTTATAATCTTCCCAGCTTTGCATGAAGCGAAAGTATATGATGTTATCCTTACTAATATCGAGGCCTAAGCAACTTGAGAATTACATAGATGTTTACCTAGAACCATTGATTGAATACTTGAAGCTATTATGGGAGACAGGTGTGAAGGTATATGATGCCTATAGAAAAGAGATATTCAATTTGAGAGCCATGTTTTTAGTACAATCAATGACTTTTCAATGTATAGTAATCTATTAGAATATAGTATTAAAGGACAACATGGGTATCTTATTTATGAAGAAGAAACACGTTCAATGAGATTACAGCATAGTATGTACCTTGGGCATCACAGATGGTTGGGTGAAAAAATTGATATCATCAATAGAAAAAATCTTTTGATGGAAAGATAGGAGAAAGGCCACCAAAGCAGTTGACTAGTAAAGAATTGTTTCAAAAGGTAAAAGACATTGATATTGAATTTGGCAAACTATTTGCGAAGCATGTTGGAATAAGCGGGTGGAAGAAAAGATCAATCTTTGAGTTGCCATATTGGAAGACCTTGAATGTGCGACACTTCCTCAATTTGATGCATATTGAGAAAAATGCATGTGATAGTCTTTTTAGGACGTTGCTTCATATTCTAAGAAAGACTGTAAAGGGTGTCCTAAATTAGGACTTATTCATCAATCTAACTATAATAAATCAATGACTAACCTAAAAGGATTATCCTATAAGAGATTAACCTAAACAAATTCTTAACATGTATTTTCACAAATGATTCAATATAAAGGGATCCCAAATCTTTAAAATATCTCAAGAACTCATATCATTCAATTACACATATGCAGAAGCATGATAAAAGAAATACATCAACATGGGAGAAGAGCTTTCCCCTTTATTTTCTCTCTATGCCTTACTCTACAATACATATATACATATTTATAACATAACACTTGGCCACTCAAACCCTTCTATAACTAGCAGCGGAGGGCCAAGGTCTCAATTACATTTATTGTAACATCTTAAAACTTTAAATCTGGAAAAAATGGATTAATTAAGGGATAAATTAGTTAAAAATATGATTAATTTATTTAATTATGTTTTTGGGTGGCTAATTAGATTTTTGGGTCATATTTAGCTCTAAATTGAGATAGGATGAAAGTTGAATCAAGTCGAGAGGCATCGGGGGGAGCAAAATCAAGTTGTTGCTCGCTATACCGTGAGCTGTGGCTTGAGCGGCGTGCGTTGTGGTGCACGGCACAGCAGGCAACTTATATTTTCGGGAATCAGCAGAAAAACTCAGATTTTGGGGTGGAAAACCTAGAGCACAAAGGAGAAAACTTTGGGTACTGCTAGGGCATCAATTTGGAAGGATTTTGAAGATCATTTGAGCCTTCAAATTTTTGAGTAATATTCCTACTCTTCTCTTCTACCTTTTCATCTCATTTTCCATGGGATTTAGAAGAGTGAGAATTTAGTCTGATGATTAAGCCATGAGTCAATGTTTTAAAGGTTTTTATTGACTCTAAAGGTTTAATTTAGGTTTATTGATCTTGGATATGTGGTAATATGAAGTTACTTTATTGTTTAGTGGGAGTTGGATCAAGCTTTATCTTGATCATAGGGTGTTGAAGTGTAATAAGTTGAGATATTGAGTTTTATATTGTGATAGAGTTAGAAGGAGACTTGAAGGGATGAAGTAAACAAATTCTAATCTTGACAAGTTTATTTGTTAAGAATTTGAGTGAGAAGTGGGAGAATTGGGAGGTTATTATTAGCTAATGGTGCTTGTGTTAATTGAAAATTAACATATAGTAGTTGTTGATATAGATTATAGTGTGGAAAGACTTACCTTGACACAAGAAGAGAATTAGTACCATGGGTAACCCTTTTAGTAACAAAAGGGTTTAGGTAACTAGATAATTTGCATTGTTTATTACCTTGTATAAGTTATTCTCAAGTTGCTTTTCTATGATTTGTTGAGTATATATGCATAAATTCTTTAAAGGTTAACTATTCTAAAAAAAGTGGAGTATTGGTTTTGTAAAATTCTATATTTTTGAAGTAAATGGAAAGATTTTGTTATACTTGCTTGAAAAGTTGTTTATGCATGGTCAAGTGGAGATATGTAGTGAAATGTGGTATATTAGAGGGTGGGAGGTCACTCTAGTGGAGATAGTGAAGGTTTAAGTCCATATGGCATTGCTAA